AGAGACGAACCACATCTATACTTCCGATAATACGATTTTATCGATAGTGTCAGAAAATGTAATCACGTAGTTCCCCGAAGTTTCCAAACTGAAAATGAATGTAGTGGCGGTAGTGTACGAGCGATTTCGACGGAATAGGAAAAAGACCGCCATTGGTCGCGTTCAGCAGACTCAACTGTTGTGGAGCGGATCCGTGAGCGCTCACTGCTATTGGATGATCTAAAAGAATACACCAATAGCAGCGAGCGCTCACGGATCTGCTCCACAACAGTTGAGTCTGCTGAACGCGAAGGCATTGCCTTTCGCAGGTTTCTCTCTGGTGACACATGAAAAGTCATCATATTGTTTTTAGCTGTTCCTAGTTATTTAACAAGATTCTAGATGGCGTTATGGACGCATATGATTTGTCGTGGCACAAAAGATTTCGAAAATTCAATCTCCAAAAATAATTTAAACAATTAATTTAATGCAACAATTGAACTAATTATAGAAGAATATAAATATGGCTGGAGGGAAAAATAGTCAGACTGGATTTCAACCGGTAAAATAATACAGAAAATATTAGAAAATAAGGAGCAATATTGTTTCACATATTTGCAATCTAACCTGTTTCATAATATTTTGCAAGGATTCCGATGTTCATATAACTTACGAGGAACAACAGAAGATTAACAAATTTGCTAGACAAAATGCGAAGTTGGAAGATTATAAGGAAGAACTTAGAGTAAAACAGGTAATCTGTTTAAAAAGGATTCAAGATGGATTTTTTCTTAAGACATTGTTGACCTTATTTGGTCATGCATACAGTGACCATACATTCTTTATTGTAAAGGATAGTCTTTTATTTTAGATAGCTGTTCTTTAGATTTCTTATTTCTTCAAAATTCAATTTTGTCCTTTATTTTCCAATATTATCCTTTACCCTCCTTTATTTTGACATTACGAGAAATTATTTTCTAACTAGTGTTCCAATGTTTATAATATTATATTATTGTGTAAATTTGTATGGAAAATATTTTACAGTTTCACGTAAATACAATTTGTTTTTGTTAATTATATTTCTTAATTTTCTAAATTTATTCAAACCAGAGTTGTTTTTATTTTTTTATTATTTCAAATCTGTTATTTCAGATCAAGGGTTTGTTCCAATAGTCGAATCAGTTTCAAACCATCAAAACAGTGTGTATTATCTCAATTTGATTATACTGTGCAATAAAATTTTATAATGCACAGATTCTTGATAGTCTAACTAGGTATCAGTCATGTAACTTTTTCTTTAGAATGGAACGTGAAAAATAAAATTTTTTATGTATGTATGTTTATATATACATATACACACATAAATATGAACATGTTCACTTTTCATGTTTCTGTCCTAGGAAAAGTTACATAATCAATATCCTTGTTGTTTGGTTTGAAAACATGTAGAAAAATTTTCAGATTTCTTTATTTTCTTTAAGAAAATATGGTCAATGTAGTCATAGACTTTGCATATATTATCAACATAGTAACAATAAAGATTATTGTTATTATCATTAACTAATTATTTGCAATTTGCAGAACGAACTGAAGAATTTGGAGGATGCTTGCGACGAACTAGCTCTTATGGACGACGATGCAAAAATACCATACTTTATTGGAGAAGTATTCATCTATCATTTCCTTGAGAAAACACAGGTGATTAAATTATGTGCTAATTGTAATGATTTTTAATATTATCTGTATTAGAAGTTTTTCAAATATTTTAATTTTGCTTTTTTTCAATGACATTGGTATTGTTTTTCTTTTTTCTATTATAGTTAGTCAGTATTAACAAGAATTTCTTTTTTAGGATTCTTTAGAAGAGGCTAAAAGTAAGAAAAAAGAAGAAATTGTAAAATTAGAGAGCAAATGTGCAGATTTAAAGACAATCATGTCTCAATTAAAAACACAATTGAATGCGAAGTTTGGTACTCGTATAAATTTGGAATCTGAAGAATCGGATTAATATTTTTCGTTATTGATGCATTTATTATCATTGTATATTTAATATTAGAAATTTACATTATTAGTATAATTAATAATTAATTGTCAGCAAATACAACTCTTCAGTGTTGAATTATAATTAATAAATAATTATATAAATTTATATAATTTTATTTGCATGGCGCAATTTCCTTTGAGATGGTTAATATAACTTAAAATAGAATTTATTTAAATACTTCTTGCAAATATGTAACACGTAAAGATTTTTTAAAAAGAATTATTTGAACAATACTTCTTGATTAAAAGAATTTGTACAATTTACAATATCATAATTATAAGTTGTCTAGAACCTGATGGGATTTAATTACAATGACATATAGATTTCTAAATGCTTTTCTAAGCCCTTTTTTAGGCAATAATAATAAAAAATTACTCTCTTAAATATATATGCCAATTAATAAAGTTAAGAATAAAATCTAGATCTTTTGCCAGATAAAGGACAATAAAGATAGAATTTTTGGATTTACCGTTGAAGATACTTCTTTTTTTGATATGTTCAACATTTATCGATTATTTGCATTAAAAATAAATAAATATAAATAAAAGATAAATTTTATACATACTGATTAGTAATATACAGTACCGATGGCAACATTGCCAAAGCTAATTAACTAAAATTATCAGTGGAACTGAGCCTAAAGGTTAAGTAACACATACTAAATATTGCGTAGGATAGAAATGAAATTTGGATATTAGCCAATTTGGGATCTGTTTTCTGTGGTTGAACTAGTGTACACTTTTGGAACTTAAAATGAGATAGGTATATGTTTGATGTTTGGTGAAAGCAAGAAAGAGAGTTCTACTGCAATCTATTGCAGGAATAAAAAACAGACTTTGTTCTCTCATTTTAACTATAAGAACGATTAGAATACATTCAGATTTTGAATTTTATTATATTTTCTGAGAAAATATATATAAATTTATAAACTTTTTGTCTTTTTCTAATAATTACATACATTGTTATGTGATTGTTCGTTACGAAAATGTTACAATGATTACTAGAGCCTTAATTTCATGATAGTATTATACGGAATACATTAAAAATAGTATATTTTCAAATTTTAATTTAAATAATTTTTTTTAATGAAATAAATATATATAATACGTATTAATATTTATATATTATATTATATATTATAATTAAGAACATTAATATAATTAAATTACAATAAACTAATTAGCAAAAAATCAGTTTCAAAATTCAAAAATAGTAATGCATTCTCTTCGATTTAATCAATGTTCACGCAAACATGTTTTTATAATTAAACTTTATGTTTTCATAATTAAAATACTAAAATGAAATCAAATATGCAATGGTAAGTAAATATAGCAACACTTGTATATCTGTAATGCTTACAGGAGAATTTCTTAATTACGTTTTTCTTTTGGTCAGTCATTCGACACAATGAGTGCTCAAATAATTCCTGCACAGCAGTCTTTTTCTGTCATCCGGCTTGAGGTAAATTTAGTTTCACCGGCTTCAATGATCTCAGTACATGTTCTGCTATGGCTTATTCAGTTACTGTCTAAGGTCAACTTTGAATATCGTGATCAATAAAATAATTATCACTGTAGTTACATAAAATATACATCTTGCAGCAGTTTTAATGCAACAAACATAAGAATAAAGTTTCAGTGATAAGTAAAAAATTGAATGTTATATAAATATCTTCTTTATTCTTTGGTATTCATATTATAAATATATA